AAAAAATTGTGTATATGTAAAATTACTAAAAATATAATAAAAAAATATTAATTTAAAGTAAAAGCAATTCCGAATGCAGGCTAGTGGGTGAATAAGTGTTGGATAAATTGATCATTATTTTATTAATTACTTAGCTGGATGGTATGTCGTGTTTTTTGTAAACTTAGAAATCAGATAAAAATTTTTTTCTGCTTGCTAAGATTGAAATAAAATGTTTGTTCCTAATGAAATCAGAATCTCTGAAACAAAATATGTACCTTAGCATTTACATGTTGTATATATGTCTCCGAGTTGCATATATTAAAGAAAGGTATTAATGAGATTATATATCAGTCTTATTCATAAACTTTTATTTAAACTCTGAATTGTATATACTTTATTAATATATATTTTTACTTATTGATGGTATTTTCTACAAGCATCCTACAATTAAGAGTCCATGAAAGGTGGAACTAAAGATGACCCAAAGACACATCCTCGGAGGAGGTTTCTCTTATCATGGCTGAAGTAATTGCTTGTTCTGTTGACTTTGATATTCAAGTACCTAATTTGCTGCCAAAGCCAAAGAGTTACTGTTGAAATGTGAAAAACGTCTTCACCTGCTGTCATTAATATAGGATTGTCTTGATGAATTATTTCTTTTCATCCCTTCTGGTGATGTGGAGTTTGTTTCAATGAAGGTCTCAAGAAACTCATCTCATTTTTGGGACCAGAAACCCAACAAGAGAGGCTCAAGACAATCCGGAAAATTCCTATGGTAGATTTCCATATTAGTTGTGGAATGTTTACAAGTATGGATCAAGTATTGATGCAGCAATCACTGGCATAAATGCCTCCTCCCTTGATGTAACTCCAGGTGATTCCTTATGTACCTTGCTCTAATTAGTTCACGAATGTTTTGTTTAGGAGTTCTTCTAATGGTCTAATTAGGTTGAGTAGCTATTGGCTACATGCTTTCTAGGAAACAGTTTAAACATATAGAAGAGTTCTTTTCCTTGTTTCATTTGCATTTCTTCCTACTTGTTTGTAGTTCATTTCTGGTAATTTCGCTTGCTCTTTGTCTAATGAATAATAGAAACTTTATAAAGTTATTCTGTTATTTGAATCCAACTTGCTTTTATTGTTGGGCAGTCAACATTGATAGTCACTATTAAAGATGATGCAGTAATCTCAACCTGTAGCATTTTAGATCAGTTTGCAATATGATGTGCAAAGACTAGCCTCTGTCTGGTCTTTCATGTACCTAGGAAGGGAATTGTTGAGGTATGCTTAAATCTTTAATATATGTTTGGATTGGAGAGTGAAGACTACATATTGAATTCAATTTCCTTTTAAATCTAATGTTTAACATCATCTTTAATATATGTTTAGTATCCCTTCTTCTATTTTACATGGTGAAAGCCTAACCATTTTTGTTGAACACATCAAATGCAGGTTCGGCAGATGAGAACCATACTGTGCCTTCTTTCCCTTCATTTCACTGAGTTATCGCAGATTAGTGAAACCTACTCTTTATACCCAAAAATAGCACAAAACCTGATGGAAAGGGGGCTGTGACCTTGCCACATTGTCAGCAGATGAAATGGTGGTAAAGGAGTTGATATGGTGCATGAAGCACCATGGGAAGGTTTGAATGAGTAAAAGCAACTCAAGTGCAACCACGTTTGGGAAGAAATAGTTAGCGGATGGACTATGGCCCGTTTCAAATGGAATTTAGATAGCTTTTGGGCTACAAAAGTACAGATGGATAAGAGTTAGGCTTAAGTGTGCTCCTTGTGATTATCTATGTAATGGACTTAAACGGAAACTTTGGTCAGTCTTTGTACTATTACAGTATCATAGGTTGGGTATCTGTTATATTTAATAATAAATTTTTGATTTTCGAATATCCTGCTCTGATGCAGTGGCATGAATTTTGGGTTAAATCTGTTTATCTCTTATGAGTTGCGTGTTTGAGTTTCACAAAACCCCTTTTCCTATCCCTCAATTAATACTTGTAAATAATTATAATTTGTTCAATGATAATAATAATAATAAAATTTTGTTTTTCAAAAAATGAAAAAAAATGGAAACTG